TGCCTGGTTCAGTCCACGCTGCTCACACACGAGGTCCCACTGAAACACAAGGCAGCAAAGATACTTAGTGCCCAGTTCAGTCTCTGTTGCCTTTTCATACCCCTTCACTGCAGCGGTCAGCCATCATGTCTCGCAATTTGTATCCACCAAATCTGATTGAAGGGTAGAATCCTGCGCTAAATCGCACATAGGACAGTGCTGGCATCCAGAAAAATATAAAGTTGAATCTTACAAAAGTCACAGTTATCTATCCTCACTGTGACAGCCTCCCTGTGAACACTTCATAGAATCATAGAATATGCTGAGTTGGAAGGGACTCATCAGAATCATTAAGTCCGATTCCTGGCCCTCCACAGGACACTCCAAGAGTCAAACCATGTGCCTGAGAGCATTTCTAAATGGTTCTTGAACTCAGACAGGTTTGGTGCAGTGACAACTTCCCTGGGGAGCCTGTTCCAGTGCCCAGTCACCCTCTGGGGTGAAAACTTTTTCCTGATATCCAACCTAAACCTCCCCTGACTCAGTTTCATGCCATTTCCTTGAGCCCTGTCACTGGCTGTGAAAGTGAAGAGATCTGTACCTGCCCCTTCTCTTCGCCTCGTGAGGATGTTGAACACCACAGTTAAGGTGTCCCATCAGTCTCCTCTTCTCTGGGCTAAACAAACCAAGTGATATCATCTGCTCCTCATAAATGGCTTTCTCCCTCTCCTCCAGACCTTTCACTATTGTCTTGGCCCTCCTTTGGAGGCTCTCAAGTAGCTTAATATTTTTTTTATATTGTGGTGCCCAAAACTGCACACAGGACTTAAGGTGAGGCTGCACTAGTGCAGAGCGGAGCAGGAAAATCAGGTCTTTTGTCCAGCTGGTGATGCTGTGCTTAATGTACCCCAGGAGAGAGTTAGATATCAGAAAACTTTCCTGGGTACCATGCATGGAGAGTTTCGCTTTTTTCTTTTCCTTATCCCTGCAGTACTTGCCCAGGTCCATGTCTCCCCCAGATCCTTCTGTCATGTCCCTTAGACTGCCCTGGTGAGATGGGCATTTGCAGGGTGCCCCACAGCAGGGTGCTGTAACACATGCCTCAGCCTGCATTAGGGAATGTTGTGTTGATAACCCACTTTCTGTTGCCCTGACCAGTTTCCTTTGAAGTTTTCTGTGCAGGGAGAAGGAGGGCAGAGGGGAAGGGAGAACAAATACTTGCTCTTAATGTTAACTTCTTGATTTCTTACTGAGAAGTTGGTTTAGACATTCATCCTAATTAAATTAATGAGCATAATTTACTTTCTTGGAGTTTCATATGTCACTAATCATTATAGAATGCTGTGGCCAAGCTGCAGAGTTAATTTCCTATATGTACAAAGCTTAATTTAATCATCAACCTGGACACGAAGCCTCTCTGACAAGGCCAGCGAGACCTTGAGCAACCTTTCCTGCAACAAAAGCGAGAGTCCAGAGAAAGCCCTGGCCCCTTCAACAGGTCCTGAGCCCACTGCACAATGGGAGCAGCATCACAAGGCTCCATGCTGCAGAGTACCTCCTTCTGCCTTTTCCCCATGACTGTTTTACATCTCTCTCCCTGAAGCACTGCAGAAAAGAGGTACAGACCTGGTACACACCTGATCCTCACCTCCATGCCTGATGAAAGCAGGAGTGATTGGGTAGTGGGGAGGAGGCATGTGCTCTAGGCTAACACTTTTCCCTGCTCTCACTGAGACAGTCAGCACTATCAGTTCCAACACAACTGTGCCCCTTTTGCCTGACCAAATTGTTCCTCTCCCTAAGACCAGTGTGATTTGGGCATTTTTCAAGGAAAGTATAGCATTAACACTCAGAGGTATCATTGTTAGACCTGGAAAAGTGTTTCAGAAGGTGAGTGGTGACTATTTGATGGGCAGGGACCATGGGCAGGCTCAAGGCTATGGCTGGCCAGCATGCTGCATTTCCTGATATCCAGGAGAGCACATCTGATTTGGCAGTGAGAGATATTGGTGATAAGAGAAAACAGGCAGCACAACCTTGTGGAGAAGAGGAGGAAGGTGAAGATCAGTGAGGAGGGGTTACCAGAGGAATAGAAGTTAAAAAGTGTTTGGAAAGCCAAGAAAGGAAGTAATGGGCTCTTATGAAACCCTGACAGGGTGCAATCCTGTGCAATGCCATGGGGTCCACACAGAGAAAATCCTATATCCCTGCGCTGCTCCTGAATCTCTCAATTGCCTGGAGAAATTAAGATAATTATAACAAGAAATACTGGCACCAATCTAAGCAAAATGAGATGTTTACAAAATAATAATAATAAATGTTGTTTTCTCTGATCTTCAAAGAGCTTCCCCCTCCCAGGACATATTCTCCAAACAGTTCACGTCCACTTGTTAAAATGGACAAGATTCCCTTATGATACTGTGCACCTGGCAAACACCTGTCCATCTGCTCCTCAAAGCACTGATCTAATTTCAATTTTGGATGCATCACAGGCCAGGCATTACCTGGGTGGAGATGGTGGAGGTCAACTGCGAGTGGTCATAGACCCATCCATGCTGGCAGCGCTGGATGATGGATTTGTTTTCTGATTGGAGAGAAGAGTTGAACAACAGGTGAAACTGAGGCTGTGAGAACATCTCACAAGAGCTGAAAGTGCCATCGGACTCCCGGGGGATACTGATGAGTAGAACTTCCTCCATGGTGAGATTCACAAATGCCTCTTGGTGCGGAATTGCACAATGATGAGAGGGGGTAGCAGCAATAAAATTGTGCAGCAGAAAATGCATGGGCAGGTTGATTCTTGGGAGGCAAAGCATAACCAAAATCAAAATCTGGAATCTGCCAAAGCCCCCAATTTCCAGCAAGAGATCCTCAAATTTCATCATTCCTGTGAAGTTTTCTCATTCAAAGCAGCTATGTACCAAGGAGAAGCAACGAGGGCTTGAAAGGCAGCCTTTGTTCTTGGAGCTCAACTTCTCATGACTTTTCATGCCGCCACTTCACTGGACTTTGAGACCTTGCTGAAAGGTGTCAAAAGTCACAGTGAAACTCCTCATTTGGGGTATAGCCAAAGAAATTATCCTGTGTGCACACAACACATCAATTCCAAACGAATTCAGCACAAGTCTCTTTTCTTTTTGAAGTCCTTTCTTCCTGCTGTGGTTTTGAGAGGGACATTTACAAAAAGAAGGGAGGCTGTGGGAAGAGTGCTGTGAGACCACTCTTATTTGTAGTGGGAATGTACCATGCAGCATCCCAGGCACTGTAACAAACGCTGCCTTGTGTGAGCTGATAACCAGCCAGACCCACTGGAACATAAAACAGGCCTCTGGAAGAGCGGCGGTGACCCACTGTGTTGGGATACCCAGGGGCACCAAGCCTGGCTGCTGAGCATCAGCTAAGTGTGTTTTAGTGTGCTTTGTGTCAAGTCACGACGCTGGAGCAGGGAGTGTGGAGAGGCTTGAGAAGGCACCTGGAAGAGAGATGAGTCTCTGGATGGATGCGAACAGGAGCGTGAGTCCTTTGGGGTAAAAGGAAGGGCTGTAGGTGAAGGCTACCTGCTCACCAGTGCCCTCCAAAGAATGGAAAAAGTGAGTATGTTTCCCTACAAAGTCCTTTTCTCCACCTGGAGAAGTGTTTCCCCAGGACACAGGCAAGGAATTGATGAGTATGCAGAGAGGCTGCGCTTGCTGTACTGGGGGCTGTGACATCCTCCTGCAGGGTCAAGCCCTGTGCTGGTGTGCTCTGAGGATCCACGTGTCAGCCAAAGGAGTGAACATGCAGCCCCTGACAGGGCCACAGGCACTGCTGTCCCCACTGCATGGGCCTGGTGATGAGATTAGGGCAGTTAAATACAAAGCAGTGAGAGAAGGGGCTCTACCCTTACTCTGCCGGGGGTCCCTGCAGGACCCTTTCCAGTAAGTCCCTTAACACCCTTGCCCCACCTAGGTGCAAGACATGGACCCACTTCCCTTGCAGCAAGTGCTCTAGACAGAGTGGACCCATGGGGCAGCTCCTGGGGATAACACATCCCAGATGGTTGTGTCCCAAGTTAAGGGGGCAGTGCATCATTCAGCAAGCAGAGGGTGCATGTGAAGAAGTAGCAACAGTGGTGTTGTTGAGAGCTTGCTATAGGTTATCTCCCACTGCATTTCCACACTCTGTACCCCTCTCCTAGTAGTCTGCACTGTCCCTCATCCACTAAGCCTGCAGTCTTGAATGTTGGTGGATACTGATGTGTCATCCCGAAACTTTCTCCAAGTTGTTGCCCTGGGACATGCTCTGCTTTAAAGCAGCTCCAGTTTGACAATCCACCTGGAAAGCAGCGACATTAGTGTTGGGATGCAGGCACATCAAGAGACTGGCACAGGTAAAGTGCAAGTGGTGCTGGCTGCCAGGTGCTGCCGAGAGCGGCCGGTCTGCACTGCCTCTACCTTGCAGCAAAGGGCTGGGAAGAAGGGGAGACCAGCAAGTAGAGATGAAGAGATCTAGAAAAGCTTTTCTTAAGGGCTCCCGCTGTGGACGGTCACGCTCACAAGGGAAAGGCCGCCATGCTGTGTCCTTAGATGATCTTTCCTCTTTTCAGCAGCATTCCTGGTCACCCATGCTTAAATAATGTTTCATGCTCATTCTGAGACCAGCATGAAGGAAGACCACAGAAGTGAAGCAGGGACACCTGTCAGTTCTGTGCTCCAGGGTTACAGTTTAACCTGAAGTTGAACTAAAGGACAAATTATTTTTCTTCACCACTGGTCTTCTAAGAGCAAGGAACAGAAACTCTCATTGATATGCTGCTGCATATTTAAACTGCAAAGCAGCTCCAGCCTCCCCATCAGAAATGAGGATATGGATCATTGCTCTGCAAGTCCTGGGGCTCTACTGTTCATACTGCAACTGCTTAAAATGTACATTCCTTTATTTCTCTAATCAAAATGTGTTCCTTTAAACCAGTCAGCAGCTTGAGTTAATCACAAACCTGTGCGCAAACGCTGTGATTGACTGTGCCACTTGGTTAAGTAGATGCAGGACCTGACTCAAACAGCTTGAACGTGCGTGGCAGCAGAGAGAGTGAGCAGACTTTAGAGTATATTGCTGGGAAAAGAAATTTACTTTTTACTTCACATCTGTATTCTTTTGCAATAGTTCTTTCTTCTCCTTTTCAGGATGCCAACTACTTATTGAGAGGATAGATTATTAAATTATTTGGTGACTAATTTAGCTTTTCTGTTTCCAGCAGTAATTTCCTAACACCTTCTAGGGAGCTGTAATACCCTGGATGGTGAAAGGAGAGAAGGAGCTGATTTGCTCCTTTAGCAAATGGAGCCACCCCACAGGTGTATCAACTGCTGCAGAGTACCTGGAGATCTGATCAGTTCTTGCAGGTTGGTGCTTAAATGATAATTTTCTCCTATAGGAAAGATGCAGATCTCAAAATCCTCCCTTCCCTCCAAGTTATGCCATGAAAATATGTGCCCATTAGAACCACTGAGCTAGATTCGCTGTCAGAGGGCAGAAATGTCCCCTTCTAGCTGCAGCTGAGTGCAGGCCCTGCAGGAAGATGTGACACATATACAGGGAGCCTCCATTTTTTCTATTATTTACAAAGGCAGTTTAGACAGAAGACCCTATAAAGCTGGGGAAGTCAGCAGAGGATGCCTGCAGTGTCAGTCTAAGGTGCACTGTGCTGCAGCAGAGTGTCCAGATGATCTGGGCAGGATGTATGTGCACCAGATTTTGTAGCTCAGCTGGAGAAAGCGAAGGTGCAGCCAACAAAGAGGTCCTGGGGCTCCTGAAGATCTTTGTTTTGGGTTAGAAGAAAGGGACTTCATGCCATTCTGACTTGGTGCTACATTAACAGATTTCTCTACTTTCCATTACTTGCAGCAGCCTGGTGTGCAGCCATTTTACTTGATTGCACAAACAAATGAAAACTATTTTGTAAGTAAACTGGTCCTGGCCAAAGCTTGTTTTCTCGTCCATCATAAATGTGAACACTGATCCTACCTTAGTGTGAAAGGACATCAGCCACTTCCATTTCTTTTGCTGTGTGTGATCATGGGTCCACAGCCAGTGCTTGCATGCTGTCTGCTTCCTAGACAGATCCCCCAGACCTGACTAATGCCACTTCCTGCCCCTTCCCTATCTCATGGAACTATTTTCATCTAACCAGTGCTGTTGGGAAACTAGCAGGGCAGAGATTCAGCCCAAATTATTAGTATACATTTTGCTGAGGAAGGGGAAAATCCAAACTACTCCTTCAGTCAGAAAAAGAAAGACACAGCAGGAATGGGAAGTCCAGGCAGCATCAAATATTTTCTGGGGTGAAATACCATCTGATTCAACTACTCTCACTTGGACAGGATAATTCTATGTGAAGTAAAACATTGCCAGGGAACTCAAAATATACCCACTGGTTCAGGGAGCAGCATGAGCAGGGGATGATCCAGGAGCTGGGAAGACTCCAGCACTGGGCATGCCCTCCCCAACAGGCCACAATCCCACAGAGTCTCAGCATGGCTGGCAGAGCCAGGGGTGGGAGAGTGTTGGTCAACAGCCCCAGACACAGGGAAAGGATGAACCAGGGCCAGAGTCCCTCCAGAGAGCCTGGTCTGGAGCAGGAAAAGGACTGGAGACAAAACTACAAGGTAGGTCCTAGGTCCGTGCAGCAGTCAGGACAGGAGAGAGGAACATGTCTAACACAGCTCAGATGGGGATAGGAAACACAGGCCTGAGCACAAATGAAGTCCTAGGTCATAAGCAAGAAGCTGCATGGGTGGCAGGTGAAGGGCAGTTAACAGCCATTAGTGCCCTTGAGGCCCTGACATGCTGTATCTGAAATGAAGGGCCAGGGTTTTACATCAAAAAGTCAGGGAACGCTGTCTGGGGATCTTGGAGCAATCTTTAGCACTGCTGGAACTGTGTTTTTTGGAAAGCCTGTGCAGACAGTAAAGAACACACTGTCACACACTTCCGCTGAACGCAGAGATGGGGAGACTGGATGTTGAGAGCAATTTGTCGGTAATTACCGAGTGGGTGAAGCGAAGTCTAATGCTCACCCTGATGGTGTTTCTCTGATGATGTTTCTCTGACGATGTGTGTTTACCCCGTCCCAACAGCATCACAGCTCCATCCTGCATTTCCTGCCCCTTCAGGCCATTCCCAATGGGTTTTCCCCCCAGAAGGAGTAAAGAAAAGCTGCACAGCATACAGGGAAGCTGCCTTGGCCATATGGCACCACACATTCAGCATTCGAAGTGGCTCGCCTTCCTTCACTGATCAGCTTCCTCCACTAATTATGTTGTTCCACCAACTTTCTCATTTAAATCTAAGCATCCCCTAGCTCCTATTTGGGTGACCGAGACTTTAATTTTGATTCTTCTGCCCCGTGTTTGAGTAGAGATCCTCTGAATTTCAGCAATACAGGAACTGACTCGGGCTTTGACCCCTTGAATCAGTAAAAACTCACCCAATACATCTCCAACACTAGCAAGAAACATGGGAAAGAGAGTAGGACAAGGGCATCTAGTTTTACTTTCCAGATAGTCTTCTTTCCTCCAAGCTATTCCTTGTTTGAGGATGCAGTTTTTGTGACTACTCTTATTAGATGCACTGTCACAACCTGGATAATTAATGACAGCTTTCAATTTACATCTGTGCTTTGGGTTAAAATTCCAATGTAATAATAATTATGTCTGGGTCTGCAGCCATGGCTCCATTTCAGCCAGCATCCCCAATGGAAACTCTGGGGCAGATCCTAGGAATGGGTTTAGGCTGGTTTGCTTTCAGTGCAGGATGAACTCCTGACCTGCTGTGGTGCTCTGTGCCTCTGAGGCTGGGGGACACTGGTGCAGCTTCCCCCAGTGGGAGCAACCCTGTGGGACCCCAGCACTGACCCTGCTCTGAGCTGGGGCTTTGACTAGAAATCTCCAGAGGTCTCTTCCAGCCTGAATTATGCTGTGAGCCTGTGGACACTATAACACAGGGTTTTGGACTCGTTTAGCCTGCTATTTTAAGTCTGAGGCTTTGCCTCATTGTTTTAAATACAAATTGGTGAATTTAAATAGCTGGATTCCATTGCATTATTTTCTCCTTGAGATTTTTTGTACATAATGAAACCTGTGTAGATGCTGTAAGTGTCTTTTCATCTCTATGTGCTCTCTGCAACCTGACACATTTTGGCAGCTTCCTTGAAGCTACAGGCTTGGAGGTCTATCCTTGGATCTAGCTGACTCCTGGGCCCCACTGTGAGAGTGCATCACAGTTACCTGCTGCCGTTAGCAGGTAGATGAAGGCAAGGCTAGAAATGACAAGTGTGAGCCATGTTTCCTTGCAGTGCAAGCTTCCCCTGCAGTTTGAGGCACTCCTGTGGCTTGCCTTGTCTGCACTGGGGGTTTTCTTATCTCGAAATATCTTGAGGTGATTGCAGAAGAAAGGTCTCTGAGCCCAACAGCCTCTTTGGCTTTCCCTGCTATAGCAAAAGCTGGTCCAAGTAAAGATACCCCCTCCTCCTAAAAACCTGTCTTTTTCACATTTCATTGAACTGTTCCAGTAAGTGCAGCCTGTTTTAGTTTCTTCCTCCACTCACCTTCTCACTCGACAGAGTGCCTCAGGCAACTGTAGCCCGCACCTTGTGCCTGACAGACATGTATTCCAGAGAAGGTCCCATTTCATTGTCTACGGGTGGTGATGAAGCCCCTTGGCAAATCCTCCTGCTGGCAGCTGATCCACGAAGTTCTGAAATATTTCTCAATTTCCCAGTTTATGCTGCTCAGCTTTAATTTTCATCTGCCTGATACTGACAGAGACTTTAAGGAGCTTCTTAAGTCCCATTGTTTCTTTCTATGATTTTGGATTCTTCACTAGAGTCAAATGTGTTTTCTTTTGGCTATAGGAGAAAGAATAAAACCTACCATCATAGGAAACACCTTTCCAAGGGAGCACTTATTTGACAGATCTCACCTGTGAACTATGCAGCTCAGTTTATAATTGTGGATCAGTGTTTTTTGGATGCTTAGTCAATTGCTGTATACGATCAGCTATGATCAATGTAAAAAAAAATAAGCTACCATACTTACCTAACAAAGACAACTTCCAAAAAATCACATTGACTGGGGCAGATTATATTCTTACCCTCTAGGTTTTTTATAATCTGAAATCTCAGAAAAAGCACTTATATTGTGTGTTAGACCATGATGCTAGTTAAGGTATTTTACCATAAATTCAAATGTTTAAAATAGGTATTTCAGTCACAACTGAAATTGTTTTTCCACAGGCAAAGGTAACATTGTTGAGATCGTAACACTGAAGAGCAAGAGGATTCACAGACAAAACCCTCAAAAAAAAAAAAAAAAAAGGCAGCAGAGAAAATGAGATGGAAACTGAGCAATAAGAGAATGAGCCTGTTTCAGGGAGCCATGGACACTGACACCCACTTGCCAGCAGATAGTGTACCTGCTGTGTGCCTGCGAGGTGGCCATGAGTTTATGAATCTTTAGCCAAGTAATAAGTTTGAGCCCTGTCCTACCTGTGCCAGGCCACAAAGGACAGGTGTCTGCTTGTAAGCTCACCCTGCCTGCATCGTGCCAAATAAAGGTGCCCAAGTGACAGTGGTGAAAGGGTGTGAACTTAAAAATTGATGAAAACAACCCTTCATAGCTTCTGTGTTCCCTCTTCAACTCCCCCTTCCCAAAGCTAGATAAGAAACTGTTACATACATGTGGTCTGCACACGACAGACGTGAGGCAAATTGCACACAGTTAAAGGACTGCTGTAAGAGCTGTTGTCCTCAGCTGACATGTCAGATTGTCAGAGAGTATTAAAAGTCAAACCGTGCCACATTACTGGTTTGCTTCTGCTCCACTTCCTGCATATTAATGTGCAGGTTCAACTGCAGCCCCAGCTGGTTGGTCTCAGCATAGACAGGGTCAGGGAGATATTGTTACGATCCCAGTGGTGCTCAAATTGGGAAAACCATACAGAACGGAAGAGCAAGAGACTAGTCATGTGAAACACTGTCCCTGGCCAGCTCTGGAGTTCAGTGACGATCCTCCAGGCAGGTCCCAGTTGGACTCCATGGACCAGCTAGATGTGGGTCCTGCAACCATCTCTACAAATGCTACTTTTAAAATTTTTATTTTAGTTTGGTTTTATTTTGTTAAAAAAGCAGGCTTTGCTCTCTGAAAGATGCTCTTTTGGGACTGGATGGCTGAGCCTGCTGCCTGATGTGTGGTTGTGAACAAGATTCATCGTGCAGGAACATGTCTTGCATGAATAGCAACAGGCCCGCTCTGGTGCATTCCTCCAAGCTGTTCCTCTGACTTTGCCTGCTTGCATGAATCAGAAGACCCTAGAGAAGAGAAAGCCACTATTACCACTGTGACCAGCAAATCACACAGCTCTGGGCTTTTGCAGGCCTGTTTACATGCACGAGGTAGAAGCTGCATCAGTGCTCATATAGAAACAATGGAATGCTCTTGGTCCTTGCCAGCACATGTTTTGGGGTTAGTCACAGCCAACGGAGTTGACATGATGTAGGAAAAAAAGAACATACCTTGTGAGGAGATTTTATGACAAGCTGGGCACAACTCTGCAGGAGGTTTCAGAGAAGGAACAGGGGGCAGAGCTGCCACACAGCTGGAATGAAACCCAAGCACAATTGTAGACAAGGTCCCCTGGCAGCAATTCAGGTGGTATTTCTGCTTCACATGTGGCAACATCAATAAATAGGAGAAGACACCAATGAAAAGGTAGACAGGCTTTTAATGGCATGATCGAGAATCCCCTTTTAATAACAAATCTAATGACAACTGTGTCTGGTATGAACAAGAAATGGCATCATCATTTATTTTTCTTTAAGATGCGATCTGAAATTATGACAAATGCCAGGTGGATCTGTACACAGACGGGGCCTCTGTGATGCATGCCAGATTTTATGGCCAAGAAATTTGCCATGCAGTTGAACCGGATTGTGGTTCCTCAGTCGGAGTCCTACATTCTGTTTGCAGAGTGTAAACATTCTCCAGCTGCTTTCCTAAAGAATGCAAAGAAGATATGTAGAGAGACTTAGCCTTTGGACCCAGTCACATTTCCAGGCAGGCAGTACCAAGGAGCAGAAGTCCTGTCTCCAGAGTGTGCCAGAGGCGAAGGAAAATATCGGTGCGCCAGATACAATGTCTAGTGTAGAATCACATGCTATCGTGTTAAAAGGAGATATATAAAATTATCTGTGTTTCCACCTCCAATTCCTGCCTGGAGAAGAAGCAGCCCAGGTCCCAGAGCACAGTAGTGTCGCTGACACTGGTTTTCACGCACATGGTTGAGCCTGGACTCCACTAAACCTCCATGCCCTGCAGAGCCCATCCCCTCCTCTGCAGGCAATAGTCCCAGAGCCCATGCCACGCACCTTGGCCTCACCTACCCATGTGCTAAGTAAATGTTAGCCCCTGCCTCTTCCAGTGACCCCATGTCAGACCTTCCTGTGCTCCAGGCAGGGGCAATATGAACAAGGCCAGAGGCAGAGCAGCAACTGAGAAGCCCCACGCTGATACCAGTCCAGCAGTACCCTCACCAAAGAGGAGGTCTCACACCTGCAGGCCCCTCTGGTTTAGAAGCTAAGAGCAGGAGCAGTTATTATCTTGGTCCCTACCAGGAACCCAGTTCTGCATTTGCTTTGGTAGCTCCCTTCCTCCTTTCAGCACAGAGGGCATCAATATTTACTTTAAACCTGCTTTCCAGACATTTGCAGCTCCAGAAATAAAAGGGATGTTCCTCCTTATGAGCAAGAGCACTGGCCTGCATGGTGCAGGGTATGCTGCATAGGTTGGTGGCCAAGTCTGCCTCAAGCTCTGCAGAATCCATGAGGGCTTCAATCCCCCAAGCAGAGAGGGGCTGACCTGCAGGGAGTATATGGTGACTTTGAAGACAATATTTGCTAGAGGAGATACATTAGAAATGAAGGGACAGGAGAGTGATGGTGTACAAATCACTGTCATTTCATGGGATTTTGGCTGTACTTGGGATCATAGCTCACATCAGGCTGGCAACAACAGATATTCTCTGGCCTCACAAAGATACCAATGCCAAAGCTCATAGGGAAGTCTTAGCGTCAGTTGGCTCTGCTATCACTGTCAGTGTAGTCCCAGCCCTTTGGAGCGCAGCAACAGGCTAACAAAGAGCACAACAACCATTTGGGGTTCTGCAGAGGACCTTGGGAACCAGCACAGAGTGAGCCCACAGGCTTCCACCCAGAAGCCCAGTTACAAGCAGGCACCCCAAGAGGAAAGGGCCTGAACAGGAGGCAAAGCTCTCTCCCTCTTGTGGAGCTGTAAGAGCAGCTGGAAAACAGATAGAGCACCGGCATGTTTCAGTTAAGCCAGAAGAAATTCATTTGATACCAGACTCATCATGTCCACAATGGGACTTTTACTGTGTTCACAAGATTAATTTAACTGCAGGTGATTGATGTGTAGGGCAAGGCCTTAGGTGAGCATTGGTGCCTATACATGTAGAATAGTGGTGGGATCATGCCATGGGTCAGTAAACTATACAGAAAAGAAAGAAGTGCACTAAGGGACCACTGAGCTGCTGCTGGAGCAGGATCTACACTGAGAAAACACCTCTGTGTTGGAAAGGAGAAATGTGAAAGATTCTCTTGCCCTGATACAACTTGCATTCAATTGAAATGTTTCACCACCAAACTCTAAACGCTTGTGTTAGTCAAGGGCAGCAGTGACACTCCAGATCCTGATCCATGCCCCACAGAGATGTATGTCAGTCTGGGAGCTATTACAGGTCACATGGCAAGTACGACAGCTGCCAACCCCCCAAGCTGGGGTGTTTTGGACCTCGTTCATGCTCAGGCAAGTGGAGCCTCACAGCTCACATGCACTTTGGTAGGGTGGTAGCCTGTTCCTCCACCCACATTCACTGCACACAGCAGTCAGTCCTGCACACATTAGAAGTCACAGTATCAGAAGACTTCTCTGAAAATAGCAGGATCCTTTTTAACCTTTAGCCACTATATATAATGGTCACTAGTTATATTATATTGTTATAATAACATATATATTATAATATTCTTTATTTAGAAAGTCTCCTTCTCCTCACAGATTCCAAGCACAACTGACTCAGAGACATCTGTTACCAAAACACCTTTTGTACAAAGGTAAGCAGATTTTTTTTTATGTTGCCAACCAGACAAATCAGTTAAGCTGCTCCATCCATCCGTGTATTTGAGCCTCTCCATGGTATTAGTCTGAGTGGTGGCATTGGTTCTTTTTCTTCTTCTGCTCACATAATCTGTTGTCACACTGGCTTAGCGCTGAGAACTCAGATTTGCCACTTGGCACATCCCCCCTGTATCCCTGTTTCTTTACAATCAACTCCTGACCAGGCAGCAGCCACTGACTCTTTTTACCAGCCAGTGTGCCACCTTCTCTCAGCTGGCAGATAAAACCCCTGCAATGTGAAGACTCAGCATGACACCAGGCAGTCCCAAAGACACTTATAGTCCCAACACATATGGGACCCCATAAAGCTCCTCTGAACTAGACCTGTCTGTTCCCACTGCCCATGCCAGCGCAGATGTAGGCACAGTGGTAGCTTGTCCCAGGAATTCCCTCAAAACACACATGGGCACAATTACCTGCAGCTGGCCAGGACAGACCCTGAAGCAAAGACACTGACAGGGAACCACGTAGCGTGAGGCTGTTTCTAGAAATTCCCACAAACATGGGAAAGTTCTGGGAAACCTGCTTCTCTTTCCCTGACCCCACGCGTGTTTTTTTCTTCTTCCTAGACATTTCCTCTGCTCTGGTCAGCTCTGTCTTCTCTTCAATCTTCTCTCCCTTGCAGTGCAGCAAGGACACAGCCCACACCAACAGCAGTATTTGAGCAGTCCCACGTGTCCTCGAGGCTTGACAGAGTTTGCACAGGACTCATCGCAGAGAACAGCAGGGTCTTGCCTCCCCCACCTTTCTGGGATGTGATAGCCCATCCTGTTCTGTGAGGCCAGACTAGATCATCTGGCATTCTTCCACCGCTTAACTTCTCCTTAATGTCACAGCTTCATCCCCTCTTGTCCCCAGACATGATCTCCTGTGTTTGCTCCAACTATGGTAGGTGCGCTTCCAACTTCCCTGCAGGGCAGTGGAAGAAGAGAGGAGCCAGAGGAGTTGTTAACCCTTTCAGAGGACTGTTTTCCCCGTAATACTAGCAGAGAGCATCCCTGATGATCCACCTGCCAGAAAATGCCTCTTGAGAGACAAACAAGAGGACTGTGAACTCCTGCAAACAGGGTGTGCTGCTCCCCAGTGATGGGAGTACCCTGGGGTACCA